CGGCGCGCCTGGGAGAAATTAACTTTGACTGGCCAGCAGCATCGAACGAGCCGAAGCAAGGCACGAGGGCGACGCACTTCGTACGCTACGAGGAGATACAATTAGGCAAGGCAGCTGCGCAGGTGATGGTCCTGTTTGCAGAGAGAGGAGTCAAGGAAGGCCAAGAAATCACATGGTCATATGGGGACTCATACAGGAGCCATCGCAAGGAGATGGGATACAAGGCGGGGACGAAGGCGGATCCGAACGCAATAACACCCCAGCAAGCTCGGACGGCATTTGCGAGATACTGCAAAAAGATAGACGTGACGAAGGAGGAGCTAGCGTGGAACTTTGGATGCATATCGGCAAGCCAAAGTAACGAGCAGGAGGCTGTCCTGGTGCGAGAGCTAATCCTGAGCAACAATAAGCGACTGTACCACGGAGCACAGAGCGCAACAGACAGGACGGCGGCGACGACGGACATGGCAGAGACGAGTGTGAGACAAAATGCGGCGGGGATGGAGGGCGGGAGCGACGGGGATGGTGACGGTGACGGTGGCGAGGGAGAGGAAGGGGGTCCATTAACACCAGACAGCGAGAGGGGCAGGGAGGAAAGGGGGAGAGAGGAAGCCAACGGCGATGCCACCAGCAGTAGGGGACACGATGAACAGGTAGACAACGGCCAAGGCGATGGCGAGGACGAGGAGACACGGGACGATGGCAGGCGAGACGAGGAGGACGCAGGCGAGGGAAGAGGCAGAGCCACAGTCGACGGAGGCGACAACGATGGAGAAAGATCGCGCGCGCGTCGTGAGTGGCGGCGCGCGCGCAATCTCTGTTCCCGGGCACGCCGGTCGCAGTGGCATGGGATCCCAGGCTCAAAAGCGCTCAACAGCGAGCTGCTCCTCCTCCTGCCGCCGCTCCGCTCACCGAGACAACTCGGTGCCGCCGTTCTCGCCGCCGCCGCCGCCGCCGCCGCCGCCTCCTCGCGCCTTGCCTCCGTCACCGCCGCCCTCCATCTCGCAGCGGCGCGTCCCTCTGATGGCGCGGGCGCCTCGCTCGTTGGCGCCTCGCCGCCGCCCCCCCTCTCGCCGCCGCTCCGCTCGTGGCCGCCCCATCCCCTGTCAATCCCGCCGCCTCCCCTGTCAATCCCCCGCACCGCCGCCGCCACCGCCTCGCGCGTTTAGCGGGGGGCCTTTAAGCTTAAATAGGAGGACAGCCTATAAAGAAAAGAAACGCAAGGTCGAGGTGCCACCTTATCAACCACAAAAAAGGCCCGCGCGTGCTGCGCGGGCCCGGCGAGCGACCTTTTCACGCTGGTCGCTGCGACCTACTCTCTTGAAAGACGATCGGCCGCAGCTCGTGGCAGCTGCAGAATTTGCGGCTGCACGGCTCAAACGCACGCGGGTCGCCGCGCCGCACCAGGCTCGCAATCTCGCCCCACAGTGCCACCAGCTCGGCCTCCGTCTGGGCCAGCTCCGCCTCGTACTCGCCGCTGTCCGGCGGCGGCAGCTCCTCCACGACGTCGACGCCCGCCGAGCCCCCGCCGAGGTAGAGCAGCCTGGGTAAGCAGGCTCAGGACGTGTAGACGGCCGCGGAGGCGGTGGCGAGGGTGGTGGCGCCACGGAGCGGCGTCGGGGGGTGTCCAGTCGTTGTGGCCTGGCTGTAGCTGTTGAGCGCTGTGGCGGTGAATCGACACCGATATCGTTCAAAAGAACGCTGATTGTGTGTTCGCCTCTGTACGTCTCTCCTCAAGATTATGCCCACCTCAGCCGGCGCGCGCGCAGCTCGAGGCCCTCCCAGTGGGGCGAGGCGCGGAGGCCGCCTGCGGTATGGTCAGGGTCAGGGTCAGGGTCAGGGTCAGGGTCAGGGTCAGGGTCAGGGTCAGGGTCAGGGTCAGGGTTAGGGGGTCAGGGTTAGGGGGTCAGGGTTCGGGTTCAGGGTTAGCGGGTGTCGACGTTCCAGCAGACGAAAGTCCGGGAGTACGGTCTGGTGCGGTGTGGTCCGAACGCCGCGTGAATGCGAGGGCTCCGGAGACAGCGGAGACAGCGGAGACAGCTGGACGCGCGTCGTCTCGAGTGTGCGACGTGTCTTCGTCTGTACTCCGCGTCTAGCGGAGGCCCGCCATATCTCCCCAGATCTCGCCAGATCTCGCCAGATCTCGCCAGATCTCGCCATAACTCCCCCTCTCTAGCGGAGGCGCGCCGCGCGCGAGCAGCAGCGCGTAGCAGCGCAGCTGGAAGAAGCTCTTCCTCCGGATCTGCGCGTCCGTCGCCGCCGAGTACGCGCGCGGGGCCTTGCCCGTCTTGTAGTCGACGATGGCGACGCCGCCGCCCGGCAAGCCGTCCAAACGGTCCACCTTTCCAACCAGCTCGAGGGCAGGCAAGCCTATCTCGCCAGATCTCGCCGGATCTCGCCAGATCTCGCCAGATCTCGCCATCTCTCCCAAGATCTCGAGGGCAGGCAAGCCGGAGGCTGGCTCCATCGGCAGCTGCGCCCGCATCCACGCCTCGTGCGCGAGCGGCTCGCCTTTGGGGGCGTTCCGAGAGAGTTCCGAGAGAGTTCCGAGAGAGTTCCGAGAGAGTTCCGAGAGAGTTCCGAGAGCGTTCCGAGAGAGTTCCGAGAGAGTTCCGAGGAGGAGCGAGGGAGGGGAGGAAGGAGGGAGGGAGGGAGGGGCGGAGAGAGGAGCTCGCCATATCTCGCCAGATCTCGCCAGATCTCGCCAGATCTCGCCAGATCTCCCCAGATCTCCCCAGATCTCGCGCCATGCGGCATCGCCGCCGGGTCCTCCGCCGCCAGCCAGTTGTCGAGCAAGCGGAGGCACTCGAGGCCCCACTCCCGCTCCTACGTATGGGTGCTCAAGACGTGCTCCTTCTCGTACTCAACCAGGAGTAAGCACTCGAGGCCCCACGCTCGCTCCTCCTCCACCGACGCGAACAGCGCCTCCACCAGCGACGGTGCGGTGCCGCTCTTGGGAGCCTCGCGCCTGCGAGAGAACAATCGGAGGAGGCTCCGAGCGGGCGGCGAGAGTGCTCCGAACCCCGTTGCTCGCGAGTCCACAGGGCACTCGCAGCGGACCGTGCGTTGTCCTCTTTGGCCGATGACAGGGCCAACGCGGAGGGCAGCAGTGGTCGCAGAGTCCCGGGCAGGTCCAGAGCATGCAGAGGGAGAGACCGGGCATGTCCAGAGCATGCGGAGGGGCGGAGAGTGGGACGGGAGAGAGAGAGGCGGAGAGAGGAGCTCGCCATGCGGCAGGCGCGGCAGCTCCTCCCGCGAGCTCGCCATATCTCGCCATATCTCGCCAGATCTCCCCAGATCTCGCCAAATCTCCCAGATCTCGCGTCATGTGGGACGGGAGAGTGCGCAGGGGGCTGCGCGCCGCTTCTTGCGCCACTCATCGCGCAGCACGTCGTGCAGCCGGCCCGCGCGCTCCTCGGGCGGCGCCTCGAAAACCTTCTCCAGCGCCGCGTGGACGAGGCTCCCCTTCTCCAGCACCTGGCCGGCAGCGCAACCGCGAGGTGCAGCCGAGGTGCAACCTCAGAGGTCGTTCCGAGCTCCACTGCGCGAGTCCCGGCTGCGTGGGCCCGAGCACACACTGCACGCACCTTGCTCGGCGGCTCGGGCAGCCTCCACAGGTTACGGAAGAGGTACAGCTGCGGGCAGTCGCGAAAGGTCGCCGCCGCGGTCGGCGACAGCCGCGGCGGCATGACGAGCGGCTCCGACAGCCTGGCGGCAGCGGCATCGGCGACGGCACTCGCCTGCGCAGATGTGTGGGAGTGTGAAGCCTGTGTGCGGGTTTGAGGCGCAGGCGGGCGGGCATCACCTCTGCCGATGTGAGCATCGAGAGCTTGGGCACTCGAGAGGAGGCGCGGCGCGCGCCGGCGAGAGAGAGCACAAGCATAGTATGGCAGCTATGGGCGAGAGAGAGCATCCCCATCCCACTCGCAGGGCGCGCGATACACACACTCCTCTTCATCCCAACCGGCCCCACCCGCGCGCCTACCCCGCCGATGGCCGTTGGGGCGGGAAATCCCGCCCCACCCACCATTGCGCAGCAGTGGTCCGAGGTCCTCGCTGAGCAGCAGAAGCCGCCCAGCCCCCGCGAGCACGTCAGCCATAGCGCCACGCGCCTCAGCCGAGAGCCGCCCGAAAGCCGCCACGACCGACCGCGATGGCGCCGAGGATGGGCCGCTCCAATACCCATCCCACTCCGCGCACGCCTCGAGAACCGACGCCTCCTCCTTCGCCAGCACCTTCGCCAAAGCCTCACGCGCCGCAGGCAGCCCGGCCGCCGCCGCCGCCTCCCCAGCCTCACGCTCCTTGTCGAAGAAAGCCAGCCGCGCACCCTTCTCCTCCTCCGTCTCCTCTCTCCCCAGGACCCGGACTGCCCCCTCAAGGAGGATCCGCGTCCACAGCTCCTCCTGCGTCTCCCCGACGACGCGCTGCCCAGTGAAGGCCTCGATCTTCTTTGGCAGCAGCTGACTCTCCTGGTCGCCGTGGCCCAACTTGCCATCGTCTCCTCCGCCCCAGCTCCAGACGCTGCCGTCGGCGTTATGGGCGAGGCTGTATGCCAGGCTGTTGCGCGCGAGTTTGGCACCGCAGAAGCTGATCGAGCTGGGGCGTGAGGGCGTGCTGCAGCCAGAAGTGGCGGCGGGGGGACTTGCCGCGGCACGTTGAGAGGGTGGAGTCAAAGCAGACAGGGCCGTAGTTGTCGTTGGGGGACCCGGAGGTGGCCTCAGTGGTTGTGGGCCTCGTTGGTGGACTCGGAGGTGGCTTCGATGGGGGTTCCGGAGGTGGCGGACTCGGAGGTGGCTTCGTCGGGGGACTCGGTGGGCGGGAACTCGGCGGGTGCCACTTCCGCCACCACTCATATGAATGCTCATATGATTGATAATGCCTCACATGAGCATTCACATGATTGATGATGGCTCATACAACACGCCACCTGGTACATCTGGTAGCATTTGGTGTCTTCAGTCGCATTTGGTGGAGGCGCGCCACTGTACGCCGGGGCCCCGATGCCCCGACGCCCCGATGCCCCGGTACGTTCGGCGTGGCTCACCCTCCAGTTTTTACCACCATCATTGTAAAATTACTAGTATTTTTTTCTTCGACAACAATAAACGTCCGTCCGTCTCCGCAGAACGCCCGAAGCCAAGTCGTCATGGGCGCTTTCGTGATTGTGTCTGGCTGTTTGGCCGAGTCCGCCTTTCCCAGGCCGGGTGGCAACTTCTCCGACGGCAACGCAGGCGAGGTCATGCCGGTCGAGGACTCGAATGTTGTCTCCGTGCAGCCTCGCTCGGGCAGCGCGCCACCGCCGCCACCCTCCTGCGACTGTGGGTGGACGACAAAGTACCCGTGTCCCGGCAGCCCAAGCGCCCTCGAGGGCGCTTGGGGCCAAGAGCTCGCAAAGGACGACGGTTCAGCCTGTTTTGACTTGTGCTGCAAGAAGCCGCCGCCGCCACCACTAGCGCCACCACTGCTGCCAGTGTGTAAAACCGGCTGCGCATGGACGACGAAGTACCCCTGTCCCATGGAAGATTATCCCTTCGCACACTCCTATGATTGGACGACAGAGATCGCAGAGGACGACGGATCAGCCTGCTTCGACGTTTGCTGCAAGATGCTACCGCCACCGCCACCCATGCCGGAATTTAAGTATCCCTTCTGGAGCTGTCGATGGAACTGGCTCGTCGGCGCTATCATTGTGATAGCTTCCTCTGCAATTCTAGAAGACCCGCGAAACATCGATTTCGAGAGCTTTATGCAGATCCTCCTATTCCCATGGCCCGCAATCGCGGGAGAACAGACGTTCACTCTGCAAAGCGCGGTAATATGGTCCATCGTCTTTTTGTGACAGCCTATGTGGTAGCAGAGACCCTTTGGTCCTGGGAATGGACATCATTTTACGAGGAACAAGCGAATGCGCCCGGGAATCCACGTCCTTTCACGAATGCAATCCAAGCCGCGAACTCAAATTTCATCGTTGGTCTCATCCTTCTGCTCATCCTGATTCCGTTTCTCTTCCTGTTTGGGTTCAGGGTGTGGGAGGTTGCCAGGATACATTGGAGACCCCGTCGATGGGTCCTGATGTTGTGTGACTTGCATCCTTACAAACAATTCACACCGGAAGGAGCAAGGGGGGCAGCTGGGATGACGGCTGCAGCGCCAAAGCAACAGGTCCTACCAGATGTACAGAAGCTGCTCGTGGACGCCAATCTCGAGGCCTTTAGCGCTGGCTTGGCCCGGCTTGGTGTGCGGGGGATGTCGGACCTACGCGAACTGGAGGACGATGACCTCGCGCAGCTAAGCATGCAAAGTCTAGAGGTGAAGCGCCTCCGACGCAAACTCGACGATGGAGCATCTCAAGCGCCAATGGGGCAGCCAGTACACAACGAAGATTTAGCGCTCGCCGGATCAGAGCAGAGCTCTCTTTACCCCAGTATGCGCGGTGTCAACCGGATCGACGGAGGCAAGTACTGAGTACCATTCCCTGGGCAGACAAGGCAAACCCCGAAAAGTGGGGCAAGAATAACCACCCACGAGCTTTAACTAAATGTAGGCATGGAGTGCAGTCTGAGAGCTACCACTTGTTTGTGCCTGTGCCCTGTCGCGACGCTCGGCTGTGAGAGAAGCTGTCTTTCGTTTTGGTCCTTGGAGCAGGAGTTCCGTTCCTTCCTGCAGTGTGAGTCTGGACCCCACGACTTGGCGGTGCCATGCCCCGATGCCTCAGTGGGTCTGTCAGTGCCCCGATGGCGAGATGCCCCGATGCCCCAGTGCCCCGATGCCCCAGTGCCCCGATGCCCCGATGCTCCAGTGCCCCGACGCCCCGATGCCCCGATGCCCCGATGCCCCAGTGCCCCGATGCCCCAGTGCCCCGATGCCCCAGTGCCCCGATGCCCCAGTGCCCCGATGCCCCAGTGCCCCGATGCCCCAGAGCCCAGTGCCCCGATGCCCCGACGCCCCGATGCCCCGATGCCCCGATGCGATATTTGGTTGCATTTCGTTAGCTTGGAGGAGGGGCAGACCAATGTACGCCCACCAAATTAGTAAGAAAAACATTTGGTAACATTTGGTGGTACCCCCGATGGGATGTTTCAGGGGGGCGAGGCTCTTAGTCCACCAAAAACATTTGGTAACAGGAAACGAACCGCGGGGGTGCGGGTGCGCGAGGAAACATGGATACAGACAGACCTAAGGTGTCGGAGGCGCCGGCGGCGAGGGCGGCGCCCGCGCCTTGACAAAGCACCGGTTCGCCTCGCTGCCGGGGTACGCCTGCTTGCGCTTCAGCACAAATGCGGTCGGGGCCGTGTGCAGCTCGCACTCGTAGGGCGCCTTAGGTGGCGGGCAGCGGCGGTCGCGCGCGTCGTCGGAGAACTCGTACGACAGGCAGTCTGCCCTCTCGGCGCATTGGGTCTGGCAGTCGAATTGGTCGGCGGCGCAGCTCTTGACATCGGGGTTGGCGCGACCGTTTGCCATCCGGCAGGCGCCCCACCCGTCCAACGCCAAGCCGGAGGGCGACGTGCGAGTGGGGGGGTGGAAGGCGACGAAGGGAGACGCGGCCTTGACGACGTCGTGCGGGAAAGGCGCACCCGTTTGCGACTCCTGCCACCCGCGCTTGGCGAGGCACTCGACGTCGTCCGAGAAGGGCGCACCGGGAAGGGTCGAGAAGCCCACGACACGCTCAAGCATGAGGCGGCACGCCCGCCTGCTGTGCCGGTACTCAAAGCCAGCCAGCGCAAGGCTCAGCTCGGCGAGCGCGGCGCAACGGGCGCGAGAGACGTTGATGATCAGCATGTGCACGCTGCCGAAGTCGGCGCCCCCCTCGCATCCGCAGTAGGGCGCCATCCTCGAAATCGGGCCAGCCTTGACGTAGTCGGGCATCTTGCACACGGTTGCCAAAGGTTCACTCAGCGGCTGCAGCGTCGGTGAGGGCGACGGTGGCCAGGGCGGCGGCGGCGGCGGAGGCGGCGGCGGAAGCGGGGGCGGGGGCGGCGCGGGCGGGGGCGGCGACGGTGGGGGCGGCGGCGATGGCGGGGGCGGCGGGGACGGCGGCGCGGGCGGCGGCGCGGGCGGCGGCTGCGGCGGCGGCGCGGGAGGGTCGATGAAGAGGTACGCGTAGAGGTCGAATGGCGGCGGCGACTCGTCCCCTCCCGCCGAACTCTGGCGGCTCCCGCCGCCAAGCCCGGCCACCAGAGGGACGCCAGCGCTGGCCACATAGAGGGACGCCAGCAGCGCGGCACCGACGCCCAGGACGAGCCTCCGCCGCCACCGGCCCGGCGGGTGGGCCTTTGCAGACGGGCCACCCTCCTGCAGCTGCCGCCTATACAGCGCGAGGAGGTCGGGGAAGGGGTCAGGGAGAGGGGTCCCAGGGGGGGGGGGGATGGGGGCTGAGCCGCGGCTGGCGCCAGCCCTTCCGGCGCCGCGGCGCAGCGGGCGCAGCCTACTCCACGGTCCGACAGGCGCTTGTCATTCCTTCGCGAGACAGACACTCCGCCGCGCCGCGGCCGCGCGTGCCTCCGCCAACTCAACGTCTGCATGCAGCTGGGTCTCGATGTAAGCGAGCTCGTCTAACACCTCCACCATCAGTGGATTGCCGCTCAGCTTGTTGCGCGACTTCAGCCATGGGAAGCGCTCCCGGTAGCCGGTGATCTTGTCGAGGGGGTCGAGGCACTCCCGGTAGCCGGAGGAATTGTTGTCGTCGCCCGGGTTCTCCTTCCTCGACATGCGCAGCAGCTGGTTCCACTCGGGGTCACTTCGCGTGCAAAAACAGCGCCGTTCGCCGCCGTGAGAAGAAAATACGTCCGCCATAGCAAAACCCGGAGCGCAGAACTAACCCTCGGAGACCCGTGTTATGGCCCTGCGACCGCGCACCCCCCCAGGGCTAGGGCTCTCTTGCCCGCAACCCGATCCCGATCGAAGCAGTGTGCAAAGACCTACGAGATCCGGCGTATCCCCACCCCCGTACGGGTCACAGAGGCGCTTCAAATATCAAAAGCGGCCGTGTTGGAGGGTGTGGCGTGACCCGCGAGGGCAAGGGCGGGACTTCTACTGGCTTGGGACCTCAAGTACAGGTCCAGGCCTCATCACAACCGCCGGGGCGCAGCTCCAGGGCCGAGCGTTTTTGATCTCTCGGTGAGTGGGCGCCCGCCCGCCGCCTCTGAGCGGGGGTCGGGCCCCCTAGACTGAAAACAAAAACAAAGTGTAGAAACCGTCAAAAACAGCCTGCGAGAGCGGCGCTGCGCGCCGCCTAGAGGACGACGACAGCGAGGATGTCATGTTGCGCGACGGCGTCATCCATTTCGTCAAGCCACCTTCATCGTGACCGTCGCCACCCTCGCCGCCGTCTCGCCTACGTCGCCGCCGTCGCCATCATGGGCCTCGCTGCCGAGACGGTGCTGTTGCATCTGACTCAACTCTCCCAGCCCACCCCCCTGGCTCCTATGCCGACGTGCGTCCCGCGTGCTTCCCCCTCCGCCGATGTCTCTGCCGCCGCCCGGCGGAGCTCTGCAGCGCGGGCCCTCCTCGCCGCCTTCGCGCTGCCGCTGCATCGCTGTCGGCTCGTCATTTCTGTCTACGGTCATTTGGGGCTGCCATCGCTGTTCTCTCTCTCCCGGGGTCAGCTCCAACCTGCCGTGTCGGGACGTCGCCCCCTCGGCTCCCCCCCCCCCCTCCGCTGAACGGTACTGCGATTATCGCCTTGTCCCAGGAGCCAGATGCGTGTGTCTAATCGTAGTGGGGGCCCTGCCCCCCCTCTGTTTTCTGTTTTCTGTTTTTCAAAACGCCCGCCCGCCCGCCACCCCGAGGCGGCTCGGCCCCCCACTCACCGAGAGATCAAAAACGCTCGGCCCAGGCGGCCATCCTGGCGGATGGGGCGCTTGCGCGCGCCCCGGTCATGCACATATGACCGGCGTGGGGAAAGGGTTAAATACACCGGCTCTTCGTTTCTTCAACATGGTGCATAATAGACACTGCTAAGCTCCGTTCCGCTGTGCAACGCTCTCACTCTCTCAAGCCCTCGCTCTCTCTCTCTCTCTCTCCCTCTATTTACGCAGGCCACCCCTCGCGGCCATGCCTCGGCCGATGTCGACCGCCGAGTCGTCCTTCATCCTTCGAGCGCTCGGCGAGGGCCTCCGCGTCGACGGCCGGCGGCCGCGGCCGCTGAGCGTGGCGTGCGGCTACCTTGTTGAACCAACTCGCAATGCTCGAAAAGGACCCGCCCAATCTGCAAACACAAACAACTCCCAATCTGCTGCTGCGCGTCCGCACTCTGATCGTCACTGCTGTCACTCACGGGGCTCGACATCTGAGCTCGAGACCTAGCCTCACTGTTGGAAAATAGTTACGAGAATGTGCGGTAAGCCCTACCTACTCGCAACTGACAACAAACAACTCTCAGCGGGACCTCCTGCATGCATTTTCGGTGTGTGTAGCTCTTGCGTTTTACCGTGAGTCCCGCTGAGTATCGCTCAGTGTCACCGGGTCTCGCGGCGAATTCTCGGGCGACGCTGATTTTCTGAAGGAAGAGTAAAGCTGGCCTTATACGCTCGCTCATTCACGGCTTGGGCGGGGGAATCCACTGCTTGATTCATCTGTTGTGTTTGTGTTGACACAGCAACAGCTGCTCGTGCTTACCAGTCCCTTGTGCTGACACGATGTCCTCCAAGGACCTCCTCAAGCTGATCGAGGACTCGGCCGCCGCTGTGGACGTGCCGTCGACGCCGCTGCAAACCGATATCGATAACCCGGGCGACAGCGTCGCACACGAAGCCACACGAAGCCAGAAGGCACACGAAGCCAGCACAAAGGTGCAGGAGGTGGTTGCCCTCGTCGCTCGCGCGGCTGAGCACGTCAAGGCCACCGGAGAGTTCTGCTTCGACAAGGCCAAGGACGCTCTCGGGGACCGCCACGGAGACAGGGCTCTGGCCGCCCTGGCCGGCGTCGCGGTCGGCTACGCTTTGCACGCTCTCGTTGCATACAGGGGCAGCAAACGCATCGCGTGATCCGGCTCGGTCGGACACGGCGCTCCCAGTCTACCGACCACCGATCGCACAACGCAGAGCTGGATCTGAGCCGCGCGAGCCGCAACGGTCGCGCCGCGCTATCTTGTCCGAGGGAGAGTGAGAGTCGCGCGAGCCGCAACGGTCGCCGCGCTATTTCTTGTCAGGGAGAGCGAGGTGGGTCTCACACACAGCTCGCTGTTTTCTCATGAAACGTAAGCAAATGCTCTCCACCGTCTAGCTAGCTTGGGTAGGCCTCTACGTAACGTATTACTGCTGCGCGTGCTGCTCGCGGCTCAGGCGCAAGGGCTCAGGCGCCGGGCCGCGGCGCTTCAGCCCTCGGCGCTGCACTGGCGTCGGGGCTAGGCCTAGGCCCTCACGAGCCACCGCCCCCCAAAAGGCCCTCCCAGCAAAGGGCGAGCGCGACTGCCGGGTACAGGGCGGGGAGCGCGCCAGCGTGCAGCAGGGACAGGGCGAGCCGCGCGTCTGCCGCGGCCTCCGCCGCTTGCCGCGCGGGCCGCGAGAGGTCAGCGTTGTTGAGCCTCGCGACCTAGCAGCCGGGCCTGTGCCTCCGGGGTGTGTGAGGCTGTGCGTGTTCCTCCCGGGCGTCGGCAGAGACACCTCGCGTCGCACCCGCGCGCAAAAGACGCGGCAGTTGCCGCTGTAGAGCGAGAGGGGGCGCTCGTCGTACGCCGCCGCGAAGTCGCGCACGGCGGCCAGCTTGGAGCCAGCGGGGAGGGCGGAGCCGCTCGCACGTAGCCGCACCTCGCGACCGGAGTGTGGTGTGTGTCAGGCGAGGTGCATCTCATCAGTGCCTGCCTGTCTCCTCTCCATCTGCCTGCTTCTCTCGTGACTGGCGCACAGGCGCACCTCGCCGTCGATGCCGCCGCCGAGGAGGACGTGCCACTGCACGGGCTCGCTCCACCACACCGGGTGCGCCGCTCCGCCGCGGGTCATAAAGTCCATGAGCAGCGAAGAGCTCTCGCACGCGACGGGAGAGCGTCTCCTCGAGCGGACCGCGACCGCCTGGTGCGTGTCCCGGAATAGCCAGCGAGCGAGCCCGCCGCCGCCCTCGCTCTCTGGGAAGGGATAGAAGCCCTTGACGCGGCAGGTGAGAAGCTCGGTTGCTCCATCGACCAGGGCTGGCGCGTTCGGCACGGGCGCCCCGCCGCAGCTGTCGACGAGTGGCCACGGCGGCTCAGCGCGAGCCCTACTGCTGCTGCTCGCCGGAGCAATGCTGCACAGCATGACAGGCAACGTCAGTGGATTAGCTTGCTTGCTGCCAGTCACCCCGACGCTCGCGCCAGCTTCGAGCAGCAGCCGCGCCGCCTCGGCCTGCCCGTGGCGCGCGGCCCACAGGTCAGCAGCGTGTCCTGGTCGCCGGTCTCGAGCCGCGCGTCGAGCCGGGCCGCGAGCGACGTGCTCCCGCACGTCGGGCCGGAGAGGTGGGCGCGGAGCGAGCCGAGGTCGCGACCGCCCTGCTGTTTAGGAGGTGTGCGCCAAAGGAGGTGTTTCTTCAGAGCTTAGCCTTCGATGTAATGAAACAACGCAAGGCGGACATGGCATATCGCTCTCGGGCCCACAGACATCCCGCACACTCGCCGCACACCCGCCGCCCCCGCGCGCGCCCCACCCCGGCCGGGAGAAAGGGGAGTGACAGTTTGGGACTCGCAAGCCCGAGTATGTTGAGTCCTGGCTCAACAACGCAGATAACAAGAGGGGGTGGTCCGGCTCACAGGTCCGGCTCACGCGCCTCGAGCTCGCCATCTACCGCACTGAACACTTCCGCCCCCTCGCTCCCAACCCATCCACCCCGCCCTGGGCCGCGCCGCGCGATCTCGGGCGATCTCGCGCGATCTCGGGCGATCTCGGGGCCGCGCCGCGCTATCTCGGGCGATCTCGCGCTATCTCGGGCGATCTCGGGGCCGCGCCGCGCTATCTCGGGCGATCTCGGAGCGTCGCTCGCGCGGCGTCACACCTGCTCAAAAAGGAAGGAGGTTGGAGGCAGGAGGTCACGCCCCATCCAGAGCGCCGTCGTCGCCGGGTTTTTGGCCCCCGGGTCGTCGCCCGACGGTTGCTGCGCGGGGCAGCAGACCACCGGACGGCGCGACGACGCCCCGTCCGGCACGCTCCCCCTCCACCCGGCTATTGCCGCACGAGCGCCCTGGAGTCCTTTTCTTTCATCCGGCGGATCGGATCCGGGTCGAGCAGAGATCGGGCTCGAAAGACATCTCCGCTCTGTTGCACAGATCGACCGATCTGTACAAAAAAGCAAACACCCACGGGCATAACTAACACAATCAGAGCCCCTCTCTCCCCCTCTCTCCCCTGCCCGCCACACGGTTGATATGGCACACATGACCACGCCACCTCGCGCGCAGGTGGGAAAAGGCACAATGAACGATGGGCTTGCCCATCCCGGAGTGGTTCGATCCCACACAAACCCGAGACGGTGACGGGATGCTGGCTGATGGTCTCAGGCCCAGTGAGGTAGTGCATCAGACTATCCCGGATCCTGCTGACCAAGCTCCTCTTGTAGCTCGATCGGTCACACCGCCATCGCCGTCGGGGAGAGGGGGGACGACACTGCTTCGGCAGCGTGCACCTCGATCCTGTACCGTGTTTATTATGACCCCCCCCAATGAACATACCAGTGAGGGAGGGCGAGACGATCGAGGGGTCCCGTACCACGCGGAATCGGCCCTATCCAGTGCTCAAGTGCTCAATCAGAGCTACGTGGCTGGGTTCACAGCGATTGTAGGAAAACGAAGGGACACTTGACGGTCGCGGCCTTCCGACTCGCGCCTCCGCCTCACTGGCACTATTGTAGCCCTGGCCGGTGCGCGTGCGGAGTTGAAGTTCCGGAGTGAAAATTCGAACGCGTTCTCTCCCGGTGACCAAAAAATGTCCACCTCAGAGGCACCTCCGGAGGCAGGCCGCCGCACGCCGGCGACACAGCTCCAGCTGTCGAACTGACCCGCAGCTCCTCTCAGAGCGGGAACTGTGACGAAAGTTGACTGAGGCAGTTGTCAGGAACCATCATACGGATCACATGGTGGCTCTCTCATGACGGGAGACGCCCGACCACTCCTGGGTGGCACTGCCACCGGTGTCGCTCGACGTCCTGTCGACAGCGTGCCGACAGCGACACAGACCATGTGGGACGCGTCGAGTATCGACCTCTACTGCTTACCCAGCCTTCGAGTGTATCCTGGCTGTGGTCCCACACCCACTGGTGTCCATCTCAGAGACCGCAGGAGGTCATGAGGGTCGATGGGAGTGCCAACCCCACAATGCCTAAAAACCCAGCCCAGTAGGTACACAGAGACATACAGAGAGAACGCCGGCTCAGTCAGAACAACAACCTGAATCGAAATGTCACCTACACTTAGATTGTATCGAACCTAAAAGGGAAGCACAGCGCACGGCAGGGAATGCGTATAGGTGTGTGTCAGGGCTCCCCGAAGCCGAACTTGACCCACTTCCCCGCGTGCCCCGGCTTCGCGTCCATGCCCGTCGCCGTCGCCACGGCGGCCCGCTCGGCGCTGTCCAGCCCGAGCAGAAACTCGATGTCGTCGAAGCCCTCGCAGTCAAACGCGGCGGCGTAGGACTGCAGCCCGATGCGCCCGAGCGCCTCGGCGACGGCCGCCATGCCGCCATTGTCGGGAGGCGCCTCCTTGTGGACGGTGCGGCCGTCGGGCAGGAGCTCGAAGAGGCGGCTTGGAGGCAGGGAGGGCGCGGAAGGGGCAAAGGGGGAGGCGGAGGAGGCGGCGGCGGCGGCGGGAGCGGAGGAAGGGGCGGTGGGCACGGGCGCAGCGGCAGACTCGCGCGGGCGCTTTGCGGGGCGCGGCGGCGGCGCCGGCCCCTCCTCGCCGACCGCTCGCGCGTACGCCACCGCCGCCTCGACCGCCGTGTCGAACGAGCCCACGCGGACCTGCCTGCCGTCCACCCTGTGCTCCACCTTGAAGCGCGAGCCGTCCTTGAACACGCCCCTGTAGCCGGTGCTGCTGCTGCTGGAGAGGTGCAAGCGCAAGCCCTCCGCCTCTCTCGCCACCGCCTCTCTCGCCACCGCCGGAGGAGGAGGAGCCGGAGGCTGGTACTCGCCGACAAACCGCGCGTACGCCACCGCCGCCTCGACCGCCGTGTCGAAGGAGCCGATATGGACCTTCCTTTCGCCCGCCCTGTGCTGCGCCTGGTAGCGGCCAGAGGCGTGCTGGAACACGCCCCTGTAGCCGGTGCTGGTGCTGCTCGAGAGGTGCAAGCGCAAGCCCTCCGCCTCTGTCGCCACCGCCTCTCTCGCCACCGCCTCTCTCGCCACCGCCGGAGGAGGAGGCGGAGGCTGGTACTCGCCGACAAACCGCGCGTACGCCACCGCCGCCTCGACCGCCGTGTCGAAGGAGCCGATATGGACCTTCCTTTCGCCCGCCCTGTTCTGCGCCTGGAAGCGGCCAGAGGCGTGCTGGAACACGCCCCTGTAGCCGGTGCTGGTGCTGCTCGAGAGGTGCAAGCGCAAGCCCTCCGCCTCTGTCGCCACCGCCACCGTCGGCGCGTGAAGCGTGCAGAACCACGTCTTGCGCCCCGCCTCCGCCTCGCTCCTGAAGCCGGCGCATGCCAGGCAAGCCCAGCGCGAGCAGCCACCGGCGTCGCACCCGACAGAGGGCGCCATCACCTCGCCCGCCTCGTCGTCGAGCAAAGTGCCGCACACGCAGCAAGTGGCGGCGGGGGCGGCGGGGGCGGGCGGTGCGTGGGGCGGCGCGCTTTCGCTTGCGGCGGCGGCGGCGGAGGAGGAGGAGGGGAGGGAGGCCAAGGACGGAGGGCCACGCGCCGCATCCGAGCGGCGCTTTGGCGGCGGCCCTTCGAACGGCTCGAGCGGGCGCTTCGCCATGCGGACCCGGTTGTGCGGACCCGCCGCCCCCGCCGCCCCCGCCGCCTCCGCCGCTCCTGACGCCTCCGCAGCCACGACGTCGCCGTCTGCCGCCTCGGCCTCCTCATCCGTAGCCTCCTCATCCGTAGCCTCCCCCTCCGTAGCCTCCTCATCCACCTCCGCGTCCACCCAGTAGGCCTCGCCGGCCGCCTCGTCCTCCTCGTCCATCGGCTCCGCCACCGCCGCCGCCGCACCCTCCTGCTCCAAACCATCCTCCGCCGCGTCCGCCGCCACCGAATCCTCCTCCCACTCATCCTCCGGCGCCTCGCACCGCCGGCGAGCCGGGTCCGGGTGCATCCAGCAGAACCACTCGGCAGGCAGTGGGCGGGGCGTCTCGGCAGGCAGCCGCCGCCACTTGTCGCACCGGTCGCAGGCGACCCACAAGCAGCGGGCCTCGCCCTCCTCGTCCTCGCTCTCGCCCTCGTCCGAGTCGAGCGCCTCGCTGCCGGCGGCAGCCGACCCCTGGGCAGGAGCCTCGCCGACCGCCCTAGCGTACGCCACCGCCGCCTCCACCGCCGTGCCGAAAGTGCCGATGTGTCTGGACTTGCCGTCCACGATCCGACGATCCGCGCGGAAGCGGCCGGTCTTGAGGTCCTTGCGAACGCCCTTGTAGCCGGTGGCGCTGCTGCTGGAGAGGTGCAGCCGCAAGCCCTCCGCCTCCGCCTCCGCCGCCACTGTCGGAGGCTGATACTCGCCGACCGCCCGCGCGTACGCCACCGCCGCCTCCACCGCCGTGCCGAAGGTGCCGATGTGTCTGGACTTGCCGTCCACGATCCGACTATCCGCGCGGAAGCGGCCGGTCTTGGGATCCTTGCAAACGCCCTTGTAGCCGGTGGCGCTGCTGCTGGAGAGGTGCAGCCGCAAGCCCTCCGCCTCTGTCGCCACCACCGGAGGCTGGCCGACCGGCCTAGCGTACGCCACCGCCGCGATCCACTTGGGGTCGACGCCCTCCTCCTGGTCCCCGTCGTCGTAGGCGATGTCCGCCCTCCCGTCGGCGTGCAGCCTTGTCACCGTACCCTGTAGGAGGTGCGGCCGAGGTGAAGCCGAGATGTCGCCGAGATTCGGCCGAGATCTACCCGCGATGTGGCCGAGATCTACCCCGAGATCCGACGGGGCCGCCGTCACCGGGTAGAACTTTGTGCCGACGGCGCCAAGCGCGGTCGCGCCGAAGCGGGCGCGCACCTTGGCCCCAACGTGCAGCTGCGGCGCCTTCGGCAGCACGGACCTGTCCATTCCCCCCCCCTCCGACGCCCCCTCCGCCCCGCCGCGCCCTCGCACCGGCGCCTCCTCTGCGACCGCGCGCGCGTACGCCACCGCCGCCTCCACCGCCGTGTCGAAGGTGCCGAGGTAGTTGTGCACCTTGTTCACGATGTGCATCGCCTTAAAGCGGCCAGAGTGCTCCTTGCTCACGCCCAAGTAGCCGGTGATGTTGCTGGAGAGGTGCAAGCGCAAGCCCTCCACCTCCTCCTGCACGGGCGCCGCTGCTGGCTCGGCTGCCTCCTCCTCCTCCTGCTCAGCCATTTCCTCCGCACCAGCCATGCCGCCGCCAGCCGCCTCCCCGCCGCCGCCGCCGCCGCCGCCTGAAGCCTCATCCCCAGCACAGCAGCGGGCTGCCGCCGCCGCCTCGACCTCTGAAGCCGCCTCCGCCGCCCGCTGCTCCACCTCTGCTGCTGCCGCTGCAGCCGTCGCCGCAGCCGCCTCGGCCGCCTCCTCCTCCGCCTCCTCCTCCGCCTCCGCCTCCGCCGCCGCCTCCGCCGCCTCCTCCTCCTCCGCCGCCGCCGCCGCCGCCGTCGCCTCCGCCTCCGCCTCCGCCGCCGCCGCCTCCGCTGCCGCCTCCTCCTCAGCCATCCGCACCGCAGCCGCCGCCGACTCCTCCTCCGCCGCCTGCACCGCCGTGGCCACCGCCACCGCCGCCGCTGTCTCCTCTGAGACCGGCGGGCCAACAACCTCTGCAGCCGTGCTGCCGACGGGCAGCGGATGCTCCTCGCTCGACGCGGCCGCCGAGCTAGCCGGCGCCAGGGCCGCAGCCGCAACGACAGCGGAGAGCTGGTCGGCTTCGAGCTTGCACGTCTGCTTCGCCTCGTCCCAAACCATCACCAGTCCCTTCTTCGTCGCACCGCCGCGCTCCGGCTTCATCTCGTGCGCGGCGACGCAGCCGCCGCATGTGCACGGCATCGCGATGCGAAGCGTGTAGGGCTCCAGCGACGGCTCGAGGTTTCGAACTCGCAGTTTTTTGACCCAGGGCGTAGCCAGGTCCTCTTTGTCGAGCGCCCGCGAGAGCTTGCCGCTGCGGGCGAGAGACTGCCAGGAGACGGGGTCGGCCCGTGCCGTGTTGGTCTGTGCCATTTTGCAATCAGCTGGAAATGAAGAAAAACCACGCAACGCGCACCCCCGGGGCTAGGGCTCTCTTGCCCGCAACCCGATCCCGATCATCCGGCCCGCTGGATGTGAGGTTGATAACTGCACTCCAAGTGCTCCAAGTGCTCCGCCGCCGTCCGCCCGCGAAATAAGGGGGAAAGAATGCTATCACGCCTTGCGACAGCCTGTCGGCGCAGCTGACCGTGCCATGATGCACAATTGATCACCTGCATAGCTCGCGGCCTTAGTATCAAGCATTCAGTGACGACCTGATCGTACGGCCAGTAGGAAGGTGTCCTTCCAGCGCGTGCACGCTTCTGACGCAATGCGCGTCACAAACTGCCTCGGATTGGCTGCTGGCACTCTCGAGGCTATGCCTACACAGCCTCGCGCGCATGGGCAGTCAAGAGGGACCATGCACCTTCTCAGGACAGCGCCGGTGCCTCTCTCTTGGACCGGCAAACTTGGCGGTCTCGTGTCACCGATGTGGGACCAGTGCGGCATCGCGCCATCGACAGCTCTGAACTGCGCCTCACCACTGACCGGGAAGGCCGCCAAGTGGGTCAGCACCGGTCGCACATTGTGGCAGCAGTCAGTAGCGCATGTCTGATAGCTAGAGCAGCAGCGTCAGGGTCGCAGGGTCGGATCGTGTCAAGCCTCTCGCCCGGCCGGCCGTGTGCAGACGTCGGCCTGTCTGCTGTCTGGAGTGATCTGTCGGCGGTCAGTACGACCGATCAGGTCGGAGTTTTCTGATGATTGGAGGGTCTATCTGTATGTACTCCTCGAGATCTCTCCAAATCTGCCCTCTGATCAAACGTGATCATTTCGGGAAGTTGGTGCTAGTAGAGACTAGTAGAGCCGGAGCCCCGTTTCCGCACTGCCCTGCGCGGCGCACGGTGCCTCCGGGGGCCCCCGCCTCCCCCCAGAGGTAAAAAATCGCCAAAAAAATGCCGAAAAAATCGGCGCCTGCGGCGGGCCATGGGAGATGGGACCCCATCTCCCCCCGCATGGACACCCTCTGGGGCCCCCGCGCCGGCCCAGAGCGAAATAGCACAGTGACAGTCTCAGTCAGACATGCAACACACGGGGACCCAGGGAAGGCGAGCAAAAACCTTATCGCGCGCGCTAGACGCCGACGTGTTCACACAAAAACATACAACCCCGGACCCAAGACGCACAAGCAAGCACAGACAGTCGAGAAGGGAGAGACACATATCACAACGCTGGCTCGTTCATGCAAACAAGCTTCGCATTTTAAAAGTAGTTGAGACGAATTCCCGTCATCCGCAAGACTCGCAAAAGTGCGTGGGGCTCTCACCCCTCTGTCAGCACGTAGTTGTCCGGCTGCGGCGCCGTCTCGTCCCACTCTCCATCCCCGGCGCTTCCCTCCTCGCCGCCGCGGCCGCCGTCCTCGGCGCGTATCAGGAAGAAGGTGAGCATCGGCCCGAGCGCAAAGGCGACCAGGAATTGGCCGGAGTAGTTGCGCGCGGGCGTCTGCGCGTCGTGGTAGGCGAGCAGCGTCGAGAGGTCGCGGCAGAGGGTGATCCAGCTCCAGCCGGCGAAGAAGGCCATCGCGCGCGTCAGAAAGTACATCTCGACCTGAGGTAAGGGAAAGGTCAGGTACGCTTCTCCACACACACACGAGGTGGTGGGGCAGGAGACCCACACGGCGTTCACAGCGCAAGGCCCAGTGCGCGTGGGTGAGTACCTCGACCGGCCCGCGGCTCGCCTTCTTCTCCTCTATTGATTACTGTTGATCGATGATTGACTACTGACTGAGCCAGACCTGCCCGCGGCTCGCCTTCTTCTCCTCCTCGATCCCGTCGAACACCTCCTGATGCGACATGCCGCTCAGCAGCAGCCACGCGCCGCCGCCGGCGGTGAGGGCGATGGTGAGGGCGGAGTCCTTGAGGGTCACTCGCAGCGTCGGGTACTCGACCAGAGACGTCCACACACTGGCCGCCTGAAAAGGAAAAAAAGAAAACCCGAGATGACCCGAGATGACCCGAGATGGCCCGAGATGGCAATCTCGACGGCCCATGTGATATGCTATGGTGTGCTATGCTATGCTATGCCACACTGTGGGGAGGGCTGCTATGCTATGCTATGCTATGCTATGCTATGCTATGCTATGCTAGTAAGGGCGCCGGTGAGGGTGGGGGCGGCGGGGGTGGCTGGGATGGCGGCGGCGGCGAGGGCGGCGGTGACAGCGGTGGTGGTGGGGGCGGAGGAGACGAGGGAGGTGGTGGCAAGCGCAAGGGCGGGTGGGGGCCGGCAGCGGCTGGGATGGCGGTGGCCGCCTCTGTCCACGCCCAACCAACCACCCAACCGAGCGAGCCTTCGACCAGCTCGAGCGCGTGCAGCGCCACGC